CAAGTAACTAACGCTTCACTGAAGCTCTAATAATATTTCTTAATCACAAACAGCTTTGATATGTGTACAAGTGAAACACATTCAAATGACCTAATTGTTTTAGGCTGGGTCCGTTTTCGTCTTGGGTATTTTGCTAAAGAAGCAATGAAAAGGTAGCGCTAGCCTGTGTGTTTGCCCATTTGTCTGTATTTTGCCTTTCTTCCGCCTCTATTGTGCCTAGTGAGTCACTTTTGTGCGTTGTATGGTGGTAATAATAAGCCGGCAACAAAAGATCACTTGTCATTAGTGATTTAGTACAGGGATACGGATGGCAGATTCCATGGAACGTGACTGTATAGGGCTTCTGTGATGCAGAGGGACGTGCAGATCAGCTATGTGATTCCGGCGTCAGAGTCCGCCACTGGACTCGACGTGTACCGCGTGTTTGTTTCATAGGTACAAAGCGACCAGGTCTCGTCTGTTCCCTCACACATCCTTTGTTTAAATAAGTGAAATTGAGCAAACTAATAAAACGACAACGTAAAATCAACTCTTTCAAAGCGATATTTCTGAATGGAATGAACTTATAGAGAACTAGAAAATCCTAGGCGGCAGGACTGCAGACACAGGGACATGACAGTTTCACCGCCCCGTTTATAAATATGGCTAAAGTGAAATTGCATCAGTGTAATGAAAGATCGAGAGGGTTATGCCAACGTTCTTTCAGCAGCCGGACCTTAGTACCAACGGATCCAAAACTAAGCCAAATATCAGAAACAAGACCATAATATGTATCATACATATGGTACATGTGATGTCGTAAACTTAATAAAACGATATTCGATCACTTTTTTTTCTAGCTGCATTCTGTTATTCACGCCAAGTTTAAGCAGACACGGAGCGTCACGAGTTAGCGCTAATTATATATATACAACCTTATGCCACACCATCGCATCCCATGCCCTGTTATCTTGCATTTGTTATCGCCGACTGGGATATTGATTGTTAAGTATCTTTCTTTGCACTGGGATACGCTTGGACATATGTTCCGCTGTTTTGAGCCATAAACTTTAATGGTACTAGAATATAAATTCCCCGCTTCAAATATGGTAAGCAATAGCATTCAAAATTTGAAACAAAAGTAGCCCAGGGTTTTCTTGTTTACATGAGGACAATCTCTAGCGCTGGTGAAATAAACGAGAAGGGAGTAAAATTATTTGGTGAATTTAATAGTAATGTATGATACCAGTTGCACCAAAATAGGCATACGTAGAGGTACTAGGTACTGCGCTGAACGACGAGCGTCATCAATCGTCATATCGCTAATTTTTCCTACTACAACTTTCAAGGACATATAGCTTGTGTAGTATTAGGCATAATTTCAATGCAAACGTTCTACTTGATCAAACTTACTATTATATAGTAATTGCAGGTACAATAAAATACGAATTTATATCTAAATCACTTCTTTGTTTGCCAGCCAAAAATAAAACTGAATAGAAGTTTCTGACGTCGCCTACATGAATGTTATGCTAAGTTATGCTTTTCGAGTCTATTATCGGCATTATTTTCTTACTTTTCCCTTTGCTTTAATCAAAGCAACCGGCAGGATCACGCCTAGGACTACTCCCACATATTGTCCTAGCTATGCACTAGCATCGCGGTCCGCAAACCTCTCCACCACTGCACATGACTGCTCGAGTCGACCAGCTGGGATCCGTCGACTCCACCGAATTTATAGCCTCGAGTTACAGCCTTTCCGCCACTCGAGAGGCTGCTCATGGTATAGGAGAGTTAAGGTATGACCGGAAAGGTTTACATAGCGCAAAAACAGAAAAAGCAGGAGTGGAAAGTGTTCATCGAAAAGAGAGGAGAAAGTGGTGCAGCAGGCAATAAACCGTTGTGTTAACACCAGACAGGGCATTCAACATAGCAGGTCTTTCAGCCAATTCCACTATTTTTCTTTGACACCTGGCACATCTAGGACATTCATACCCTACAGAGAGTGCAACATATTCGAATCGAATATATAGACACGTATGGCTTTGTCGTCGTCGTTATATATGCACGAAAGGTGAAAGTTATGAGCACAGACAAGGAACAGGGCAAGCAATAAAATTGTTGAGGCAGGAGCAATATGATTTCACCTTATAATTTTTTTTACCTCCTTTATATATTTCTTCCTTTATGGGTTTCAAACTATTAAAGCTATGCGTCTGAAACACTCAAACCGAAATACGCACCTGTATTATACATTCAAAAATGCAGATATTTATCAAGTTAAAGAGTTTAAGTCGTCGCTGCTCCTAGGTATGAAGCACATCTCTCTCACTGACACTGAATCATGCTTGTTTTGTCATTCATTTGAATGGCCTGTATTCCCGAAGGACGAAAGTACAGCGTTTAAAATAAGCCTATGGGGCAACAAACTCGTGCGTCGACATGCAATGCCATCTAGGCAGACTACTCTAACAGTCTTGAAGGAAACGGCAAAAGATGATACCCGATTTAAAATCAAAAGGGTCTGTTTAGGATAACAGCATAAACATGTTATTTATTTGAATTTCATACAATAATAAATATTTCTTGGAGAGGCTAAATGTTAAATGCAATTATATATACATATATATATATATACTATTTACTCTACGGGTATCACAAAAAGTGTGACAGCGGTACATACTAGATACGCAAAAAAAAACATTACAATATGTTAGCACTCATCGGATGACAGAGTCGGCATGTATTTGCTTTGTTACTAGTATAAAAAACGTGTATAGTGAGGAGACATTGCAACCAACGCAGGATCGGGACTTTTGATTTTCCCTTAATGTTTCGCGGCAGCGCCGTATTTAATGCATCCTCTTCTGAGATAAATGCTTTGACCGTTGGTGCTTCTTGTTCGGAGGTATACGTCTAGCTGGACGTGGCCTGGTAGCGAATAATATAGATGTTGAGAGGCTTAGGCTACGCACGCCTCTACGGATACTAGAATAGAGGAGACGTCGTTATGGTCCAAATCAATACTGTTCGAAGCAAGAAAAAATACTATTTCAAAGATTCGTCACCACATCACGTAGCACACGATAGTTCTATGTATATTATCTTTTCATATTTCCTAAAATACAGAAATTATAAATGCACAGGCCCGTAGCTAGGTAATCGACAAACACAGTCACAGATTGTGCTCTTAAGAGAACGCAACTCGTACTGTTCTGTTAAAGCATTGTATGTTAATTTTGTATTATATCGTGCAAATAAAATATATTCGTTCTTCACAAATTATCGACATCTTATAAAAGCTTGCACTGTGTTGTCCTGTAGTACTCTAAATTTGAGCTTTCTAAAATCCAGAGCACCATACACTCTCGTCAAGCTTTTTGCACTTGTACAATATGCAAAATCCTACTTTTATTGAGATTGTCAAGACGTTTTTACCTGTCTAGCTTGTCTAGTCTACGATCTATAACTCTGTGTCTGTCTGTTCGTTTACTCGTCTGACCTAAATTGACCCCTTCAAGTAATCGAATCGAGCCGATTTTTTTAGGTCGCTAGGGTTTTACTTTGGGAAGAACGTAATGTGGAGGCTAAATTTCTCTGGAGGATAAAGTTTGTAGCTTAAATTTGAGCAAATTGCTTGTTTTTGCTATCTTCTCGGCAACCATTGAAAAACTATGACAAGCTTATACTAGAAACTTGTTTGCCTTTCAAGCTTTACAAAGTGGATGTTGAACTGTATTAAGGGGGTGATTTTCGATTTCTCGCATGTTTATAGTTTAGCGGTAAATATCTTATATTTGTTGTTATTATTATGGCTCATAATTAATGACATATGAACATATCAGTTCGGTTTCTTTAATTGTATTAATACTTTCTGCCGGATGGAGCATTTGTTGAAATGGAAAGAGTAAATGTAATACGAATCAAATATTGTTATATTGTAGTTTGTATTTGGCTGGACATAGCGCAAGTCAAATTAGGTGACGTCTGTCCGGTAATGGGGTACCTTTTCAGAATCGCCTTTTCGCTCTTTTGATCAGAACCTGTTATTCATTTCTGCGGATAAGTTGCAGATGTTAGCGCGAGTTACATCCTAGAGAGAGTCTTTTCTTTGGCAAACAAACTGGCAGTCAAATATTCACGTGGGCAATTATGTACGGGGAGTATATTTTGCAAGCAGTTCCATGGCTGAATTCGAATGCTATACATGTTCTTAGAGCCGGATTTCAGTTTGCGAATCGAAAATGTCGTCTAAAAGATGAAAGCTTAATATAGCGATTTATATTGAAGGTATAGTTTCTACTATAAACTGAGTAAAAGGAAGATAAATTCATATCTAAGCTTGACGTTTGGACGTGGAAAAAGGCCAAAATTCCAATCGGTAGTTTTTGTTTCCCAAGTAAGAATGAGATGAAAATAACCTCCAACATACTTTTGAGCGATTCTTTGAATGAATTTCTAATAAATATTTATTCAAATGTTAGGCTAAATGTAACACGAATCAAGTCCACTCAATCCATTAGCAATGGGTTAAATTAATCAACGCGAGATTGACGTAATGCAAAGCTCGCGGGTTCGTCTCCTGAACTTTTTAAACTTAAATATTCCGAGTTTTACGTCCAGTATCATCGTCAGGCATTCCATCAGACGGCCGGCTCTCAGCGCGAAACGAAGTCTATCTATGCCCGGGTTCGGACCTAGGCCACAACGTGTCCCTAAGATTAGTAGGCAAATACGTTACGCACTAAGCTATCACGGCGACAGATCGTCTAAACCCAGGTAGACTTGTCTTTTTTGAAAGGAGTCACTGTTGACTGTCAGAATTAGCCAGTGTAAAGTTAGTCGTTATCACAAACTCGGACCACGCGTCAAAATTATCGAGACATGTTCATTGACGCAAGTTCGCTCAGAGTTTCAGGTGTGAATATAATGAAAGTCGTATTTACTAGGAAACGTACGATTCGCATGTAGCAATACAATTAAACGAGAATTCTTTAACTCCGTATTCCAAAAATGCTTACCGGTGTGGGTTTGTGCTGCTGGACAACCGGTTTAGTGACTGGCGGATGGGGCTGTTGTCCAGAAAGAACAGTGCGACCACCCTGAGTTGGGGAGGTGTTTATCGAGGGGGGACTTTTGCTTCCCGTTGGCGACGGGGATGTCTTCAGAATAGGGCCCGAACCTAAAAGCATCAAAGTCACAATCGGATTTAGGTCTTGCAGTTCTACGCACATACAAACGTTTCTCATTAATTCATCTATTTGAATATGACCCCTTTAAAATGAATGAACAGCTACTTCCTTTGATTACTAAAACTTTTATTTGCCATCAGAGTTCACTATTATGTTCCTTGGTTCTATGAGATAATGAATGATATACCTCAATCGCAGTTTGCTCTATACTTCACAATCAATTTCTCTAACGTAGTTTGCTAAGTTCCTGAAATGATTTTTAAAATAAAAATGTATCTCGCCGAATGCTCTGTCTCAGTCTATCATGCTAGCGCTTGACTTTCACCAGTACCTAAGAAAAATAACACTAACCTACGTTGTTTGAAATCAAATTAACTAGCGATATATTAAAAGATGCTGAATTTTAATTTAAGTACAGTTAGGCCTAGTTGGCTAATGAGCACATTGACATAGTAGTTATTAGCATATGGCTATCGCTGGTTCAAATAATAGTTATGGCAAGCGGTTACCATGCCGTTTTACGGAGTCTTAGAGAAGCCCCGGATGGGCTCAGCAGGACCCGACCTGACTAGATCTTCCAGTGGGAGCAAATTTTTGATAGTACACACCGAGAAGGTAATTTCGACAACGTGTTCGCAATTAATTAATTTTGAACATCGATATAACCTATTTGTTGATTGAAATAGAGGCAACTTAGTATCGTTGTATGTGTCCTAAACAGTTACAGGTACTAATGGAAAACAAACGCCGTCGTGATGTTTCTTTTGTTATATAAGAAACGGTTGTATATTCAATCATTCGGTTTAAGACTCGTCACGAGAAACACTGCAAGAATATAGGCACTTTAGTTACATAAAACGTAGGCAACTAATCCTACCTAGGCTGTTGACTAAGAAAGGAATTATTCGAAATCCCGTCATACAAGTCTCATAAAGCGTGTGACGCTTATATGCCTTTTAAACTAACAAAATACAATCAACTTAATAATGCTAGTTTGAAACGCTTCTTATTCTATGCATGGTTATATTTTGCGCTGCCACGCACAGCACCGCTTAGCGAAAATTAAACCGGAAGAGCAACGTCCAATAGGAAAGTACGCTTCCTTAAACCATAACTTACCAAATAGATAAGTGGCCCGTATAGAAGCTTTTTTTAACCTCATTGTAGCATCGATAATACTTGCTTATTGAATTACCCCTTAAAAGGATATTTTCCTATATTTTGCCACGCAGATATATAGACTTAAACCAAATGTCCAAAGGAATTGTGGCGACATCCACCGCATTTATGTGAGCCTATTGCGGTGTTGCATCTCAACGTAGAATATTGACAATGATAGCAATTGTCCAATCACGTCCAGCTTCTAAGGGTATATCAGCCATATTCTTCGGATACATATTCGAGTTTAATCATTGACGCTTATCAACTGCAGAGTTTAATCAATAGTTCTGATATTTTGTAAATTCTGAGATTCGATAACACTTCAATAACAATAAAGTAATCTCAGCGGGTGTTTATAAGAGCTTAACACAATTTAAGGAGGATAATAGCAGACCTGTGGGTCACTAGTGTATTTTTCCTTGCCATCTCGTATGCCTTGTGGAAACCTCGATATTAGCTGTAAATAATACTTTTTTAGATAGTTATTTTTTTCTAGGATAGAGTCGTTTTTGCTGAGATAGCGTATAATTCAAGGTCTTGAGGAGTAATTTTTCTCACAGTCCTCCAACCTATCGACACGAAAAAAGTACTCTATTTTGCTGTGGTGTTTTTAATTGAAACGTTTCTTCTGGTGGTCAGAGGAAACGAGTGGTTATGACATTAATCACGCTCGCCTTAGGGCGAACCTAACAAATACTTGAACATTGTTGGCTTTCATTAGAGTTGTGCTTTGCTTTTTTAGCTTGATTGAATGGAGATAGCTGAATTGAAATGGAGTTAGTTATTCACCTCCTCCAGTAGGGCTGCGTACAGCCGGCGTCTTTCTGAACATAAGCCCGCCAGGTCCTGTAAGTTTGCCATCTTTATAGCCGGGACCCTTCTTCAACGAGTGTTGCAGATGGTAAGATCCTGGTGATTGTAGTGCCGTTTTAGCTTTCTTCCGATAGCAGACATAAGTAGCAGCTGCGACAACGACCGCAAACAGAGCCGTACCGACACAGGCGCCCACGATTAGTGGACCCGCCCCTAAAAATATCAAGCGCAGATAAAACAGAATTAGTGAGTCAGTAACTTTATCGTATACCATATCTGTATCATAAGCTCAGGTAGGATAAGGATGTTTGGTGCCGTATTGTGTTGTTTCATTATGTTTGCGTGTCTCGTAATCTTCTAACTATCAGATATATACAGATAAGCAACTATTATTACAAGCATGTATTTTCAACGTTGTCGTCAAAAGAGGTACACATAATTGACAACTGATTAAGTTAAGCAGTAGGAACGTTGAAGATTCCGTATAATCCGTAACCCTAGAGCTCGCTCTAGCTAGAAATTCGAGTAGATATGACACGTTTTGTAAATTTGAAGTAAACGTACGATTTAACGAGGCCTGGCAGCACCTATGTAAGAGGTAAACAGTTAACGACAGAGCATTAAATAGGCTTATAAGAGCATAATGTAACCTATGCTGACCCGATTACGTCACACGCCTGGTTCTGTAGTACGGGTTGTGTAGTTGTCACGCTTGGGCAAATGCGTTATATGCGCGCAACGATAAAATTATTGTTGAAATCTTTCAGTTGTTGAACTTACGGCTTGATATTTTTCTATAATATCTTTATGTACAAATGTCAATGTTTACAACACTATATAGTTTACGCTTATAACGTACACTTACGCGAATGTAAAAACCTTGCAACTGACACATTAAATAGCAGATAGTGGTGGTTATTGGTATTAATATATTATTGTTTCACATTCGAAAATTTTCAAGCCCTTATTAATTCAAGAACTCGGACAAAAAAATCTATTCTTGATTTTCATGTCTAGCCCGTTAATTCAAACCTAGGTACACAGAGACCTTCAGTATGCGATGTGATTTATTTGTTCTAATGATCAATCAAGTCTGAGAGGCAAAAGAATAAATAAACGCGCCATTTCAAGGTAAACCGCGGCAGTCGGCCTCTATAGTGTTGCTGGAGAAAACTATAGCATTATATGATGCTTACATTCAAATAATATACGAATACGTAACACACGCACAAAGATGGAATCTAATCAGGCGATGGGTGTATCAATAAGATTAAACGCTGAAGCTACGCGGGCAAACACGTGACAAATGCAGAATGAGCCTCTAACGACCTCTAACGTAACACCCTCACAACGGGTTTTTCCTGAACAAAAGTATTACCTAAACAAAGAGTAACTTTAGCCGCGAGTCTGTGGATTGATCAGTCAATCAAATGACTTTTACTTCCCGTTAGCCGTACTGATGCATGATGATTTTTTCAGTGCGCGACATTTGCTTAGGCCGGATGGCCATCACTGACTAGTCAGTCATTGCGCTATTTTTCTTCCTCTATGTTTGATTCGTCCTCAAGCGACCCAGCGCGATACTACGCTAACAGGGCGCCAAATACCGCGCGAGTGGTCACTAGTAAACAGCGACATTGGTATTGGCAGCGCTTGTTGCTGTTTTGATTAGCTTCCATCTGCGCGCCACTAACCGAGCTGTTCGTCGCCTGCCCAAGGGATGATTCACTGGACATTCGCAAACCAAGCTGAATCCCCGGGTGCGTGAATCTTTCCCCAGACAACAAAAGGCAGGGGACCAGATCAAGCAATTATTAGGAATCGCACGTAGATATAGCGCAACTCGATTATCATCGACATACACAATGTAAAAGATGAATAACTTTACATTTTATTTACATATAATCTACGTATAGTGTTACAAATCAATCTGCATGAAGTGTATAACATTTTTTCTACCACAGATATTCAAAATGATTACCGTTTAATATGCCGTATAAATATACCGCTGACAACAGCGCGTTATTAACACGTTAGGAAAAACTTTAACAAGTCTTTCATTTGGTGTTATGGCCCATTCCTGGTTAATTACGGCGTTCACATCATGCACTGTTATCGGGTCTTTAGCGTGTATTTCATTTTTAAGGTATCCTTCAAAGGAAAAACCCATTGGCGTCAGGCCTAAAGAAAAAACACGGTATCATCATCATCATGTCCATCCCATCTGCTTTGAGTGTTCCTATTAAGATGTGCTCTTAAATCACAACAATATAATAAAGATGCTTAATTTTATTAGAAATAAGATTCGCTCCTTCCATTGAAATCGTTCCAAATTTGTGACAGAAAAGATTCGTTTTGCAGTAAATTCAAGTAATTCCTTTGTCTGAAATGCCGCAATGTACTGTAACTTTCAATAAATTTAAATATAGAATGTAGATCTACGAATAGGTATCCTGACTGTAGCTTCATCGCTTCAAAGAACCCTACCCGAAAATTGTGCATTCTGCTCGCATTTTTTCAAGTATTGCTTGTGAAATAGACCATACCGTTACTGAATAGCAACTTTTTTCACCGCAAGTGCACTTTGACACTTTAACAGGCTTACAGATTTTTTAAATGTTTCGTTATAGTCCTTTTCCTTGGCTGATGAAGCTTGTTAATCTTCCGAGACGTTGTCTGTGCGTATCCTCAATGGCTCCATCCGTTTCAAACTCATCTTTTATCCGATTACTTGCAAGTTACGTAGATAGATCTGTCTGAAACCGTTTGCAATAACATCATTGTGTTTCTGCTCTATGCTCATGCTTGCAATGGTATTTTAAAATAAAGTTTCTTCGTTCGAATTTAAATTTTCGTCTACTCATTATTTCAAATTAGTAATATTTTTATAAGAAAAAAAATAGCTAGAAAGTTTTGTCCCTTTAAACAGTGCATACATTTTTTACACGTCCTGTATAAATCTATTTAGTACGGACTCGATCTATAATATATAAAGGTGGTTAGCTGGATAGCAAATGACACCGAAGATGATGCTGTCGCCTTCCGCTAGCCATTGGTAACAGACACTGTAAAGTACTGCGTGATAACGCTCACAGAAGTAAGTGACGAACCCCGTGCCTAGAGGGTCTCACGCCGATGTTTATGCAGAACAGAAACCGACGGACACTGGTAAAAAGAGTCATTGAAATTCTAGAAGGCTCACCCCAAGTTAGGTCTCACGCAACCATATCTTGAAGACTATCTGTTACCTAATGCCAATAAGCGGTACTCAAGTAACCAAATAATTGGAGAAGCAGACAATAAAAACGAATGTCGTAAACGAAGACAGAGAAGGTCTTATAGTAAAAGTGTGCTTCTTTGAATAATAACCATAGATATATTATACTACAGTAGACGTTACTAACATGTAGATGATGTTTATGAAGGTTCTCTGACGCAGTAAATTATAGACGTTTATATAAGTTGTAATTCGCCAATAAGTACCTATTTAGACGCTTTGAGGCGAATCTAACTTAATTACCTGCATCCAGAACGGTCACAGTCATCGTTTTGCTATCGTTGATTAACGCGGCCCAAGTTTTCGTTATTAAATCGTTATTGTCATCAGCCATCAGGCTGAGATGATACGTTACTTGCACATGGATTCCACTCAAAAATGACCAACGTGCTAGCGTCAACGGGAGGATCTGTAGAGATGACTGTGCAAGGCAAATTGACTGAACTCGCCTGATTTGACTAAGAAAAAAACAGACCATGGTCAAGAAGCCCAGTAGGACAATTTAAAGCCAGCCATTCTGGAATCGGCACTTCCAGAGGCAATAGATTCGTACTGATATAAGTAATACCGCTTTTAGTAGCTCTCATTGTAGGGTGACCATTAAGTTTACAGCAGACAACACTTGCTCATAAGCTTCACGTGTACCTCACGTTCACGTTCTCGTCTTCGAAAGATTGCAAGTTACGATATGTGTATATGGAGGTAATGTTGATTTTGTATTTAATAAGTATGGTGTAACAGCATTCTTCATTGTGATATATACGGATACGAATAGACGGACGTACTTTTTATTGTACTTGCACTTCATTTATTTGCATATTTGTTTGTTTAGCATAGTATAAAGCACAGGCCAAAGGGAAAAGGGCAAACAAATGAACCTTTCTGGCGGTCAATACTGACAATATTAAAAGGCCACGCCAAATGTAAGCGGGGCATTTTCGATAATGTAGTGCCACTTCGAATCTTGATAGTGCACATCGAAAAGTTTGCCGTCAATCAGTAAAAACTGTCGGCAAAAATCGACAAATGCTGACGATTCAACACGACCTTAGGTTTAAGGTACAAGATGAAATATTCACCGTGACATACGACAGCCAGTTAGCTCGTATCAAATTGTTGGTAAGTACAAGAAGCGGCTAATGTTTGCACTGCAATGCTGAAACAGGGCTCAAAACTTTTAAAATAAAGTTATATGGTTAAGTTATTAGCATGGTTACTTAATCTGACAAATTATTGCCCGAGTAAAACATGAATAATTTACTGGTAACTGTACAGTTAAGTATTCAGCCTTCGTTCTGATATATTGTGCGCCGGTATACCATGTGCTTTGAAATAATACTAGGACTGAGTCAGTATATAGGTGTTTTCAATAGACCACCGTCGAATCGACTCATGTCTATGCGTTGTTCTATGCAAAAACAACTAATCGTAGGAAATAGGTAAAACAGGCGTTCGAAATGTGCATTTATTACAAACAAAATTTGTGCTACTGTCTTACAAGTACACGCGTTTATGTTATGAATGCGTATATATATGTGCCTGAATGATGAGATAAGCTGATGTTTGGAGATATTTTTTATTTTGAACTCGGGTAAATAAGTCTTCTGTATGTTCGTGGGGATGATAATTATACTTACTATACAGCCAACTTTTCTAATTATAGCTTGCATAGATGTTAATGAATTTCATTGCTGCACGAAATTTAGTTTAATTGTTATCCTGATTTCCGCTCCGCGTATTTTGTACCCGAACTACCGTCAGAACGTACTCCTTTGAAAGGCTTTTGCCATGTCGAGATTACCTATAGCACTGCAAAGGACGCTCATATTTAATTCGATAAACCTCTTTTTTTTCCATATGCTGATTGCGGCACAGCTTTTATGGTACTAAGCGAGCTCAATGGGACAACTTGCTTAGAGAATTGACTGGCCTATAA